AAATTACCCAGTAACCAACATCAGAAAACATTTTAAGGCACTATACAAGACAAAGAATCAAAGGGGTTTTTAGTATTAGTTAGACAGAAAAGTATACCTGATAGTCTAAAATGCTGAATCCTAAACCATTTTTGTCTTTCTCCAGTTCAATAACTCTCACATCAGGAGACCATAATGCTAATTCCCCTTCTTCCTCCTCAGGATTCATGTCTTCCTCCAGTTTCACCTGAAAAATAAAAGCTCTAGTTCAAATACTATTCTTTCAGTTCTTTACAAACACTATTCCTTCAATATTTTGATTGTTAACAGCTCATACATGCCCTAAAATATGACCTTTTATAGAATTACAACTTCATTGAACATTATGCATCCAGTTTTCTCTGGCTTGCTGCCTTGGATACTCCTCTGGGACTACGCCTACATGTTTTGACCATCAGAGCCCAACCTGGCATATAAATACTCGTGTATTAGTCAAATGAGTTGTTACAATATTACTAACCTGTTACATGCTGATGAACTTCAGCTGTCCCATTAGATGCATAAAGGAAAAATAAATAGCATATAAGATTTAACCGCAGACAGCTAATAGAAAGACTACGCCATCAGACACATCTGATACTTGTGGCATTAAATATGCAAACAAAAAAGACTCACACTGTAGCTGTAAAAATAGTATCTAATTTGAAAAGCAGTTTCTTTCAGGATTTTTGTGCTAAGGTACAAAAGAAAGAGGTACAGTTACCCAGTTTTGTTGGGTAAGGACAGCTTCATAAATGCATCTTCCAAAAAGGCATCTTTTGTTATCTAACTTAAAATATGTGTTCTAACATTACTGATATTTTATCAATACAATCTTTGCAAAATATCAGTGTATGATGTCCCAAGAGAAATGTTAAAATCTTGTATCGTTAACTTCACACTGATGTAACTTTATTTCTTTGGACAAATATGCCTCTTACACAGAGCACTGCCATGAGGTGGAAAGGACGAAATTTTTCTTCCACGCACTCTTTCTTGATACTTTTGACAAAAAAAAGCAGAAATATTGTGAAATTGCTCTTAAAGTGAAGGCAACCTCTGTTCACTCAATATCATCTTATGTCAAAGATATGCAACTGACAGGATGCCCATGGAAAATGCTCAGTAAAATTCAACATCAAAAACGCAGTGGAACAAGCTCTATTGCAACAGAAATGGCCTTTTACAAAAGGGTGTAATACTGTACACCTTATTCTTCCATGAAACATCCATGTTTCTTGTTTAACACTCCAACTTAGAGGAAATTAGATCAGAAAACATCAGTAAAGATGAGAAGTCAAGGTGTAAATACTTTTTGTAAATAGGAACAACTATTACAAGTGTCAAGCTTTAGTCTGAGACTTTAAAGCTTCTGCAATGGAAAGAAACATTAAGTTTCTTTTTTTTTTTCCAGTTCTATAAAAACCTACTCAGAACATGGAAGTAATCAGCTAATGGTGGCGAGGATGTGATTTAGTATAATTCAGAGCTCTCACTCACCTATTAAGTGTAAGAATGATGAATGGGATGTCCATAGTCAGCATGCTAGCTCGGTGATTTACCTACCTTGTACTTAGAGTACAATGAAGTTTCTCAGGACCAATCTGTATAAACTGCAGTAAAAGTACCAGTGTTGCAAATATGAACTGAAACACCAGCTGCTTCTTACAAGCCCGAAGTGAATGGCAAAGGCAGCTTTATGTGACAATTTAATACAAAACTGCCTCATATAACTATATGTTTTAGGAAATGTTATTTAAGACTGAAAAGTGGTCTGGATCAAATAGCAAAAGGAAAACACAAACACTGTCTTTAGAAAGCTACATCACCTTCTCAGAAATATAGGCACTTTTTCAAAAAGTTATTGTCTTTTACACAACTGAACGACATGAGAAGTCTACCTTTTGTTCTGGAGGGGAAGCTCCCACGGTGGGTTCATCCACAAGGGACTCACTGCCGTCATCAAAAAGTCGCCGACAGCAAACCAGTGTAAATGGGGGTGGCACTTCTTTTAGAAAAGTGATAGCCTCACGGCGTGATTTTCCACATAGCTGAACTCCATTTACCTACACGGAAGGGGAAATATATATGCACACTAAGACAATAAAAGGATATCAACCAGATTCTTTTATTAATTTTTGCACGTACGTGTCTTTCCCCAGCTGAATGTGAACGTCTAATTTTACCTAGGGATTCTGGCAGAGCTCGCATAGTTTTATTAACTTATGCTTCTGAAGTACACATGCATTACTGTAAGACTTAAAACTCCTCTGCAAGATCTACTGACTGCTACATCATGTCTCTGCTCTCTTCAGCTTCCTCTAACTTGTTTTCTTCTCACTCGTTTTCTTAGCCTAAATCTTTCCTACAATTGCTATTTGATTCTCTCTCTTTTTTTTTTTTAGCATTAGGCTTATGTGTTTGAATGTAAAATGATAAAAATCTAATTTTCCAAAATATTTTAGGAAAACACAGATTTTGAGCTCTAATGAAAAACTTGAAGTCAGAACTAGCACAACTTTGTCAGTTGTTCAAAACGTAACAAAACGGTTGAAACTAAAATAGATCCTACAGAAAACATGCAAGAATGTTTATGTAGTAAAAAAGAAACCAATAACAGTAAGCAATTAATCAGAAAACCCTGACAAGAGTCAAAGCTTACCATCCCATAAGCTTTAGATCCTGAGTGACAACAGAAGACCATAAGGACATTGTCAATGGATGTTTTAAACCACAGACTTAAAAAAAGAAAGAAAAAAAAGTAGATAGATAATAATGCTGCTTTAAAAATGGAATACTGCAGTTGTACTTCCTCAGGAAAATAAAGCTACAGTGATTCATCCTCTTTTACATATTTTATAACCTGCAATATCATGAGGGGACATCTATTTGCAGCATAGCAATGTCCTTAAATATGAAGAAAACAGAACGTCAATAGGTGCCACAGATGTGACCATCATCTATGTCAAGGAGCGGTGCAGCTCCAGAAGAACAGGGGTTTAACCCCATTAGCACTATGGACTCAATCCTGACATCTCTTGTGTTTCAGGGATTTCTTTCAGGCTCCCTCAAGTCTGCTCGCGGGACCAAATGCCCAAAGTTGCTGGAGTGCAACCACTGGATTAGGAATCCAGTACACGTCATGCAAGCCCACGCCACAACACGAGCTAAAGCACAGTAAGGGGAATATAGAAGATTCTCTTCAATACTTCACTCCATGCCCAAACTGCAGTGCTGATGTAGACAAACCCACACACGGTCCTAGAAAACACGGCACGTAAACATACGGCATACGTGCACACACCTCTGCACCTGTGTACTTGAGGCAGAGCCTTGGCATATATTTCCCAGATCTCCGTGTTGAGTTCTTTAGAGGAACTCAATCTTGTGCCAGACTACACAGCAATCTGACTTTAGCCACCGTTTTCTTCCTGATCACCTCTATTTTTTCCCCACTTTTTCCTCTGTGTTTTTCACAGTGTGAATATAGCGTATACTGCTGGGAAACAGAGTTCCTCTCACACTATAGCCCAGTCAAGGAGAAAAATCCAGAGTGGTGTAACTGGCCTCCAACACGGTAAGACGAACAGCTATGGGCTTTTTTTGTAAGAATTACAGCAACTGCTGAGCTATCAGGCTAATCCATTAGTTAATTATTTAAGCAGAAGTATCTACGCGTAAGGATTTTTTAATGCATTGAGAGTGGCAGCGTGGTGGAAAGTTACCAGCACTTCTCAGCATACTGTGATTGATGGAGAAGAACTCTCCCAGGCAGACCTGGGGACTCCCATGTCTTCTTCTGCAGCTGCCAGAAATCAGCCTCCAAACACACCAGGTGCCCTACACCCCATTCATTCACCACAACACTCTAGTTTGTTGTGTCATCAAAGAGGAGCGAGTGAAATTTTATAACAAAGCTAGGACACAAGGAAGTGATTTACTCCTAAAAAAAGAACACAATGGAATTAGCTAAAATTGGAGGGGGGAAGAGAGAACACCATGCTTTCTATCATAATTCAAGCACATCATTAAAAATAATCAACATTCAACCTCACTATACATTAAAAAAAATTCCTCACTGAGCACATTTTAATCCCAACTGTATCAAGCCCAGGTAGAGCTGCTTGTTTGGGGAATGGGGCTGTCACTTTTTCCATTGCAAACCCCTACTTAAGGGGATTTATAACTTGGCTGCAAAAACATACTCTGGGCTAAACCTGGCATATATTGCTTTAGCCCTGGAGCACATTTTTATTTTGTTGGGGTTTTTTGCCAGCTACAGAGTAGAAAAAAATTTATGCTTACTAGGTCTGGAGGTATCTGTGAACTTAACTGTAAGTATGCAGTAATAAGTAAAACTGTTACATATATACAAATTAAAGTTTCCTAAGTTACTGTACAGCATTATTGCTTTTTGTACACAATTTTTTGTTTAGTGGCCAAAGAATTTAAACAACACTTCCAGCATTCCATTAATCCCTTCCTTTAGGAATCAAGATTTCCTCCATTAAGCAATAACTGACGAAAATGGTTTAGGTCTTAGTGATATGAGTATGAATTTTTGATGTTAAAGAGCGAACAACAAGTAAAAGCAAGAGAGCTGGACACCTCACAAATTAATCTTTCAGAAGGCCTAATTCTGTTCCCATTGATGTCATTTAAATGTTCTTTGCATCCACTAAAAGAGATTCAAATTCAAAATATTCCACAAAGAGCAGGTATTCAACAGGAAATTAATGTCTTTTCACTTGCAGGCTGAGACACTGACAGATATACCTACATACACACAAAATAGGTCTTATTTTAGAACTATCAAGTAAGTATTTTTCCTGAGCAAATAGGTCTGGTCTGATTCTGATAACTTCAAAGCTGCCCCAATACCTCTTTATACATATTTAAACAAACTGATGTACTAGCTCATACACACAAATGTCTTTCAATGATCAACAAGCAAGTTATAATGCGTAACAGAAACCACTGTTCCTGAGACTGTTGTAAAGTTTTTAGGAGTGACAAATATTAAGAAAGATTATCCACCACAAAAGCGAATGCCAAATTGCTCAAAAGATTGAGTTAAAGGACTGCAGATACAAACACATTCGACACAAATATCATCTCTGCCCTTATGACTCTTGATACTCACATTAAAACGTTTCAGAAAAAAAAACAAACAAACATGAAGTCACTAAGAGGTCACAAGAACTTGACATTTTGTCCATAAAGGAGGAATGAAACAGTGAAGAAAATGAATGTGACTTCCAGAGCACTACTCTAACCGCTTCCACAACCAACTCTTGAATCCTATTATTGCACTCACAGCAGCCAAACTAGAATTGAATACAAGCATTTTTAAGAAGGCAAAGCAAACAGGAAATATATCAGTTTTATTTTTGGGGGGGGTTTTGCTTTGTTTTTTACCTCCAGAAGTTCATCCTCCAGTTGCAGAAGACCAAGTGTTGCAGCTGGACCATCTGAAGCAATTGATGATATATAATGGTGTCCATCAAACGTGTCAAGCTCAACTCCTAATCTCAAAGTGTGGATGGGTAATAGCTGCCAAAAAGATAAGTATGGCTGAGAATGTGTATATCTCTGTCTATCAAAATATAAACACGTTTAGGATTCAGTAGCTCACCAAATTAAACTAAGCACACAGTAAGATGATTAAGTCTTCACGCTGACATCACCTGCGTTACAGCACAAGTTTTGCACGAATAAACCCAACCAACCTGCCCTTTGGGGGAAAGGCAATTTGAACTGTATTCTTAAACAAGGTTACCATATCGGAAAAAAACACAGAGAAAAGCACCACCTAAATTCTATCCTACCCAAAAGGTGAGTTTTCACCCAAACTGAAAGAAATTCCATAATGACCATAAAAACTCATCACAAGATCAGCTGTCTAACTCCTTCAGGAGCTACGCTACTTTGAAGTAGGAAAAAAATCCATGAAGTGTCCTCTGCAAATAGCTAATAATACTGGTATCCTTGTTTCTGCAAGGTGAAATTACTGATTTTGTGTTAGCCTTTTCCCAGTGGGCCTCCTTAATTTGGAATTTTTCTCTAGGGAGCCTCCAAGCATTAGTATCTTAGGCCTGCTAATAGAGGGAAGACTAGCATAAAACTGGTACGCTATCCAGACAAGACAGCAGAAATCATGGCAACTCGGGGAGAAGAGGTGATCAGCAGTATCTGCTCCTTCAGTTTGTCCATTTTCTGGCTTTTTATTACTTGTGTTGAAATACTGATTGTCCTTTTGGTTCCCAGTTAATCCCGGATATTCAAGTAAAAGGAGGAATCCATTGATCCTCAATACTCCCTCACATCCATGTCTGATTATGAGTTTATGGCCTTTCTTCACCGAGACATCCCCACGAGTATATGAACGCATCACTTCCACAAATCTTTTTTGCACGATATTAACATACATATCTTGAAAATCTCTGGAAAGTCTCAGAAGACTGAAATTTATTTCAGCTCTGACCACTTCAATTAAATGGATCTCCCTCTCCCTGAACCAGGATCACTATGGCAAACTCCTTTGCAGAATGACGACACTGTTAGCAGAGCTTCAACCTCTGTTCCATTCTGTAGTGGCTTTCAGCAACTGAATTTCAATGCAATTAAGCACCCCAAAATTTGAGGCTTATATGCATGGTTTGGGTTTGTTTGTTTGTTGGGGTTTTTTTTGTTTGAGGGAGTGGTGTGTGTTTTAAAAGGTTCATTTGCCCATACTACAAGAAGGTATTGGACCAGTCCAGAAGATAAGCAGAATATTGGTAACTTTTGTTTTGAAGAAGTAAGATAGAGCCACAAAGCCACTAAATTTCTGAAACACATAAAACTGGAATTGTGTCATGCCCTCCTGGGATTACTCTACCAACACACACCATGAAACAAACCATCATGTAAGTCATACCTTCGAGTACTTCTGAAGCTCTGAGTCATCTGTAATGGGCATATCCACATTCACAACCTAAAAAGTGTACATCATAACATTTTTCAATAGCAGGACAATAAAGACTTTACCAGAATGACGAATTCTGGCAAAAAAAAAAACACCTGATGAGCAAAATAAACTGTACTTAAACAAAGTCACATAGATGCAAAATAATTTTAAAGAAATATTAGAAAAATGTTTCATAGAACATTTACAACAGGAATGTGGCGATTATGCACTATTAGCAGATTCCAATATTATCTTCTTCCTGAAACCCAAGTGCCAATTTTAGTCAAGTTCAGTAATCCTGTATAAGCACAAAATGCCATTATGTTTGACACAAATACCCAAACTGATTTGCCAATCAGAATTTGAAAAGTACGATAGCTTAAGTTATTACTTCAGGCTATAGTACAGCCATCTAAAATCTAGACCAAACCACCATCTTCTGCAGCATGTTTCTAACACGGCTTGAAATAAATGCATTTAATTACCAAATCTGAATGCAAAGTGGATTATTTAAAACTGTGAAAGAAAACTCTTCAGTATAACTTCATTTTTTTATATTAGTAAAGTAATTATCTTCATGACCAGTTTTCTAGTAATGTTCTTCCTTAACATAATTTATCTGTAACCTTAGGTTATTTACTCCAATTTCAAATGTACTAAGATGACATCTGTGGTGATCTATGGCCCACAATTGGAGTTTGGGACACTGAAGTTGAACATGTTTGGGAGGACTGCTACTCTTGATATATTTGGAAAATATACAGCCTTGCAAAAAAAATCAGGTAACTTCAGGCTCCTTTGGAAATTTCTAGTTTAACGAAGTATCTACAAAACAATACAAGGCCTCAGCTTTTTCTTTTAGCTTAATTTTAAATAGGGCTTCCTGCATCTTGTTTTCCAGCATCTAGGATATTTTTCCCAACAGACAGAATCCATTTCATGTCCATTCAGTTGTAACTAAATGAATCTATGACTGATAACTGCTCAGCTTGACTGCTCAAGCTTAGGTACTTGGCAACAAATACCACACAGTCATACATCCCTGCACAGACTTCCAGGGTCTCTTCCTATT